GGGCCGCGCTCATCTTCCTTCATAGCAAAATCATTGATTTTACGATGGTTTTGGCCTCATTTTGTCCTTCTCAGGGGGCAGCGCTTCTTTGCGCTTCTGAGGAGGTCGCCAGAGGCCCCAAGATGGCCCCAAGAGGCCCCCAGGAGCCTCCCAGAGGCCTCCCAAGAGGCCCCCAAGAGGCCCCCAAGAGGCCCCCCAAGAGCCCCCCAGAGGCCCCCAAGAGGCCCCCAAGAGGCCCCCAAGCCCCAAGAGGCTCCAAGAGGCCCCCAAGAGGCCCCACGAGGAGCCCGAACGAGGAGCCCTCGACACCACCAGGACGAGGGGCCCGAACGACTCACACCACGAAGAGCCCGAACGACTCACACCACAAGGAGGGGCCCGAACGACTCACACCAGGACGAGGCGCCCGAACGACTCACACCACGAGGAGCCCGAACGACTCACACCACGACGCGGGCCCCGAACGACTCACACCACGAGGAGCCCGAACGAGTCACACCAGGAGGAGGGGCCCGAACGACTCACACCAGGATGAGGGGCCCGAACAACTCACACCACGAGAAGCCCGAACGACTCACACCAGGACGAAGAGCCCGAACGACTCACACCACGAAGAGCCCGAACGACTCACACCAGGAAGAAGGGCCCGAACGACTCACACCAGGACGAGAAACCCCAAACGACTCAAATCACGAGGAGCGCTTTCTCTCCCTCCTCCTCCGCCTCGTCCTTCTCCCGCTCCCCCCACAAGGAGGATGTACAAGGAGGCGGGAGGAAGGAGGAACAGGGGAGATATGCGGGGCCAAACGGACACACGCCTGAAAAACACGACTGTCGGCATGCTTCGCATGAGTTGCTGTTGTGAGATGGGCTGGTGGGGATACGCGAAGCGTAAAGAATTGATTGAAGAAACACTTAAATTATTGAACTGAAGAATTGGCGATCTTGACTTGAATTTGGCTCACGTAGAACTACATAAACTTACGGTGACTTAGTTCGACTGGTTTATATGACATTAGCTAGTCGTAACTCACTTCATTGCGTTGGAACTCCAACTGGGTTGCACGGATTTAGATCAACTTAAACTAACTGGAATTAGACGGAATAGTACTCACGTGTACATACATGCATATATTTAAAGACATGTGGGCCCATGCACGTGTTAAACAACATATGCCACCTGGCTCCCGGGCCCCCGGGCCCAGAGGCGGCCCACTTTTCCCAAACTGCCCCCCCACCGCCGCTGGTAGCCGCTGTCCTTGGCGGTCCTGGGTCCATGGGGGGCTTTCGAAGGGCCTGCGGAGGGGCCGAACGAGCTCCCCAAACGGTCCAAGAGGCCTCCTGGACAGCCCAGGAGCGTTCTCAGACCCCCTAGACGGCTTCAAGACGGCCTGAGAAGCCACCAAGACGCCCCAAGAGGGTTTAGGACCCCAACGAGGCCCAAGAAACGAAAATCGCCCGAATCCCGATAGGAAACCCTCATCTTCGCCTTTTTGGTCTGAACAACGTCCACGACGGCCCAAGAGGCCCCAAAGATCGCACAAAGACGGCGGCGCAACACGCCCACAACTCGACCGCAAGACTGCCCAAGTACAGGGCCCATGGACGGACCAGGAGGCCCCCAAGACGGCCGAAAAGAGATAGGCCCAAGAGAGAGGACGCGAACTATCATATCGAGCCTTCCACCCCAACATGACCCGCGACACCGCCAAAAGGCCGCCAAACAGCATCCAGACGCCTCCAGGAGGCCCAGAAGAGGCCCCGTGAGGCTTCAACATCGCTTCCAGAATGGGCTCGAGAGGCATTTCCAGGGAAACCCGAGGACTAAGGGGACAACCGGAGAACGCCTGCAGAAGCCCCCAAAAGGGCCTGGGGATCGCCCCAGTCTACACGTCGTTCGTTTCTAATCGTGCTCATTTCTAATTGTGCTCGTTTCTAATTGTTCCTGGCCCCCTAGTGACCAGGAGCAGGCCCGGGATAAAACAACTAGACATGCAAGGATCTTGGCCCCCTAAATAATCGAAGTATCCCAGTGCGACCCTACCTAGGAGTTGGAGCCTCTAGGGAAGCAACATTCGTAGGAGCAGCAGCAATGGTGGATGCTGTGCTGCGCTATGCTATGCTATGCTATGTTAGGCTATGCTATGCTCTGCTCTGCTATGCTATGCTATGCTATGCTGCGCAATGCTATGCTGGGCTAGTCTAGGCTATGCTATGCTATGCTATGCTGCGCTATGCTATGCTGCGCTATGATATGTTATGCTATGCTATGCTATGCTATGCTATGCGTTTGCGGTGCCTTCGTTTTTGCCTTCACTTTTGCCTTTGCTTGTGCTTTTGCTTGGCACCCAGGGAGCGCAACTGGGGGAACCGCGCGTTTGCTTTTACCTTTGCTGTTGCGTTTGCTTGGCTCCCAGGGGACCGGGGGAATCGCCCGGGGCGGTTTCCACTGCCCGGCCCCTTTAGGCCAAGCGAGTAGGAACCCTTCTAGGCAGAGCCTAGGTGGGGAATGGATGTTCAATAACAACACGCTATGCTTTGCTGCTATGCTTTGCTGCTATGCTATGCTATGCTCTGCTCTGCTATGCTATGATATGTTATGCTGCGCTGTGCTATGCTGTGCTGTGCTGTGCTGCGCTATGCTATGCTATGCTATGCTATGCTATGCTGCGCTATGCTATGCTATGCAGGGCTATGCTATGATATGCTGTGCTGCGCTATGCTATGCTACGCTATGCTATGATGTGCTCTGCTATGCTAAAGCTCAGCGAAGCTAAGATGAAGGTAAGCTAAGCTAAGATAAACCTGAGCTAAGATGAAGCTAAGCTAAGCTAAGATCATGATGAGATAAGCAACGCTAAGCTAAAGGGACGTAACTGGGGGAACCACGGGGCGGATACTGGGGGAACCGCCCGGGGCGAGCCCCACTGCCCGGCCCCTTTAAGCACAGGGAGTAAGAACCCTTCTAGGCAGAGCCTAGGTAGGGAATAAACCTGAGCTAAGATGAAACTGAGCTAAGCTAAGATGAACTAAACTAAGCTAAGATGAGATAAGCAACGCTAAGCTAAGGGGACGTAACTGGGGGAACCGCGGGGCGGATACCGGGGGAACCGCCCGGGGCGAGCCCCACTGCCCGGCCCCTTTAAGAAAGAGAGTAGGAACCCTTCTATGCAGAGCCTAGGTAGGGAATAACTTTCGAAGAATCGAACAAACAACAATCTGTAGACATCTGGGTGCCCCAGAGCCCAGGGTGGCCCTGGGGCTCTATCTGCGGGCAGGGCCATGCCACGAAGGCGCATGCCATGCCACCCTTGCCATGGCATGAAGGCGCATGCCTCGATCCTGCGCTCAGGCTGGGCCTGGCCGAGAGCGCAGACAGTCAAACCTGAGAGTGAGGATGCGCGATGAGGATGCAGCCCGCTTGGACGCCCGTGATGAAAATTAGTCTCGAGCGCGGCGGGCAGTCGAAGGTAGTCACTGAGGGACCACGCAGGCACGGATGCAAGGGGACCCTTAGGAAGGTTACCCATCCGTGCCATCGGTTTCGACTGTAGTTCTCCTCGCCCGACGCTCAGGACAGGCACCAAGACGCCTATTGGGGTGCCTCCCGACCAACTCCTCGAGCCGCGGCCAGCCGCGGCGGCGCAGAAGGCTCCCTAAAACTACGACGGCGACGACGATGTCGACGTCGTCGCCGCCGCCGCCTCACGGCCGACCTTTGTCAGCAGGGGGAACTCGAAGTTGGCCGTCTCGCTGCCCATGCAGGCCCGGGTGAGGACGGCCTGAACCTGATCCCTGTAGTCCTCCGTGATGAAGTCCTTCCAGGAGCGACGGACACTTCCATTTATAAGCCCGGGCCTCCCCCCCCCGGACAGGATGGGCCCCAAGGATCCACAGGCCGCCCCCCCTCCTAGAGGGTGTGGGTGGGGGACGACGGCGCCGACGCCGACGCCGCCGTCAATGCCGACGACGATGCCGACGACGCCGACGACGACGACGCCGATGCCGTCGCCAACGCCAACGCCGTCGACGACAACAACGACGACGACGACGATGACACGACGAAGGCGACGACGACGCCGACGACGACGGATGACGGACGACGGGCGACGGACGACGGACGACGGACGACAGATGACGGACGACGACAACGCCGACGCCGACGACGACGCCGACGCCGACGCTGAAGCCGACGCCGAAGCCGACGTCGACGCCGACGCCGTCGCCGACACCAACGCCGTCGACGACGACGACGATGACACGACGACGATGCCGATGACGACGACGACGACGAAGACGACGACGGACGACGGACGACGGACGACGGACGACGGACGACGGACGACGGACGACGACGACGACGACGACGACGAAACACCCCCCCCACACCCATAGGGGGAGGGCGGTGGAGGCACCGGCACCATCCACCACGCCACGCCCACAGGGCCACGACCACAGGGGGGGGGGGAAAGATCCCATTCGCGAGGCCTTCGCGAGGCTCACGAGCGCACCCATCCACCATCCAGGGGGGGGGCTCGATCCCATATGCATTGGAGGGGGAGGGGGGGGGCAACCCTTGACCATGTATCCGTTGATTTGCGGCCTGGATCCCGAAAGACAAAAAAAGATACGATAGAGGAATGTTCGGAGCCCGGAGGACGCGTTCGGGCTCCGGAGACGTCAAAAATTGATCCCGGATGACGGGGTGGCCCCGATGGACCTCAGAGGTGTCTGGGGATTGCTTTTGTTTTGGTCGGATTTCCTCAAGAAAATAACAAAAAGAAGTGCGCAAATATAGTTTATCGGAATTCCGCGCGGATTTCTTGGATCAGGGGCGGCGCCAGAGGCGCCGCCTTGGGGGCCCAGCGCTGATTCAAGTCCCCGAGGAGTTCGGAGAAAGTGTGTTCACGCAAAGTTTTGCGTTCTGACTCCGGCAGGCCCACATCGGGGGCGGCCAAGAGGGGGGTGTACAAGATGAGGGGGTGCAAATCATGGCCAGCGGCGTGTGCGTGGCCCAGGGGGGGGGGGCAGGAACGTAATGAAATGAGAAGAGGCGCCATGAAATCTGGCGAGATATCATGGCCCCCACCATGATCTCCCACCCTAGTCATCAGCTCCCTCTTGGCCGCCCCCGGCCACATCCAGGCCCACGCGACGCGGGTCTGGAAACCCGGGTGTAATCCCACGAGTGCAGGGCGTCGGGCGCACTGCCGCCCTGCATCCAGGCTGGGGGAACGAAGAGGCACTGACACCAGCTGCTACTCCCAGGACCTCTCCCCAGGGTGCGCCCTGACCAGCATTTCGAAGCGAAGCCAGCGATGGCGACGAGGGCCGCCGAGAAGACCCAAAAAGAGGGGGAAAAGAGAAAAAGGTACCAGTATGAGTGCCTTCCCCTCCTCTGACAGACGGGAGCCGCGGCCAGGGGGATCTGGAAGGAGGCGGAGGAGGAGGAGGAGGGGGAGGAGGAGGAGGGGGAGGAGGAGGAGGAGGAGGAGGGAGGAGGGAGGAGGGGGGGAGGAGAGGAAGAGGGAGGAGGAGAGAGGAGGAGGAGGAGGGAGGGGGAGGAGGAGGGGGGGAGGGGAGGAGGAGATGAGGAGTAGGAGGAGGGAGGCGGAGGAGAGGCACAGGCGCAGCATGGCCCCAAAGAGCGGGGGGCCGCTTCCAGGCTGCCCCTCTGGCCGAGGCCCCTTGCCCCCACGGGGACACACCGAGCGAAGAGCGCCTGCACTCCTCCACCTCCTCCTCCTCTCCACCTGTCCTCCTCCCTCCCTCCTCCTCCTCCTCATCTCCTCCCTCCTCCTCCCCTCCTTCCTTCCTCCTCCTCCCCCCTCCTCCCTCCCTCCTCCCCTCCTCCTCCTCCTCCTCCTCCTTCCTCCTCCTCCTCCTCGTCCTCCTCCTCCTCCCCTCCCCCTCCTCCTCCCTCCCCCTCCCCCTCCTCATCCTCCTCCCTCCTCCTTCTCCTCCTCTCCCTCCTCCCTCTCCTCTCCTCCTCCTCCCTTTCCTCCTCCTCTTCTCCTCCTCCTCCTCCTCCTCCTCCTCCTCCTCCTCCTCCTCCTCCTCCTGCTCCTCCTCCTCCTCGCGGAGGAGAGCCCAGACACGAAGTGCCCGGAGGTGCCCCTGCGAACCCGGAGATCTGACGCTCCAACAAGATTTGAACAGGCTGGGTTTGGGGGCGTTTTCGGCCTCTGGGGGGCCCTCGCCGGGCCTCGGGCGCTTAACAAAGCGACTCAGGGCGAAAAAACTGCCCTGGGGACGTGGTCAGGACTTCTGGGGCTCCCGCCTCGACAAAATGGGAGCAGCCGGATCTCCGGGAAGCTGGGGCTTTCCGCAACGCCCGGTGGGGAAGCCACGTGTGGACCCCAACCCTGCAGGCCAGATTTCTGCAACACTGCAGGTGGCTCAGAATTCGAAAGGATGTCTGCAGCCAAGTAAGCCCCCAACAGGGGGGTCCGACACCCCCGCATCGACCGAACTCGAAGCGATCGGACCCGCAGCGGCAGGGTCCGATGATGGTCGCGGGCTCGTGCCAGCGATCTGCCTTCCGCCCAGGGGTCCTGCACGAGCTGCCTCCCCATCGTCTCGTCCTTGGGGCGCTGTGAGAGCTCGGCGGCCTTTCTGTTCCACTCCGTGACGCGGCCTTCAACGTTGACCCCGAAGATCGGGGCGTTGGCGCTCTCGATCAGTCGGGACAGGTCCTCTGCTATGATCCTGCTCTCGGTCAGGGCCGCGCGCATGTTGGTGATGTCTTGCCCGACACCAACCACGCCAGTTACCATGCCTGTGATGTCACGGCGAGGCGTGGCATTGAGCAGAACGTCGATACGCTTGTTGTCCTTCGTCATCAGCGGGAACTCGAAATTGGCGGTCTCCGAACCCTGGCAGGCCTGGGTCAGGACAGCTTGGACTTGAGCTCGGTAGTCCTCTGTGATAAAGTCCTGCACAAGATTCCTACCCATGGTTTCCCCCTTGGAGAACATCGTCAACTCGGCCGCTTTCCGGTTCCACTCTGTGACACGGCCATCCACGCCGACACCGAATATGGGAGCGTTGGCGGTTTCAATCAATCGGGCAAGGTCGTCCGCGATGGTCTTACTCTCTGTAAGCGCCTTTTTCATGTTGGTAATGTCCTGCCAAGACAAGACCCAACTTACGTCCTCCTACCTCCCCCTCCAGACGTGATTGCTTGCGTTGGCCCCAGCCGACAAGCTCGTGTACCCCATGTTTGACAATTTGAAGGTACCCGTCACTTCGCAGCGCCTGTAGGACACCAAGGCGGCAACCAGAAATCGCAACAGACTCGGGAACCGCGCAAGGCACCCGCCATGAAGCTCCCCGTGAGGGCACCAGAGCGGGAGCCTGAAATCGCCACAAACTGGGGCACTGTAGGCCAACGCCTATGAGGCACCATCCATAGTGCACCAGGGCGGCAACAAGAAATCGCAACAGATTGGGGCATCGCAGGCCACCAGCCAAAAGGGCATCACTCACGTGGGACCAGGGAAAACCAAACATCACAGCAGACAGGCGTTGGGAAGCTCGGCTTGGGAAAGCAAAACAAAAATTGCATGAGGACGAATTTAGAGAGGCAATGGGTCATCAGAATACGGGTAGGCATGTATTTCTGCCGTGGGGTCCTGCCCAACTCCAACAACCCCCGTGACGTTCCCCGAAGCGTCGCGCCGAGTCGTCGCGTTGAGCAGGATGTCGATGCGCTTCCCGATCTTCGTCATCAGCGGAAGCTCGAAATTATCTGTTTCCGTACCCCGGCACGCGCGGCTGAAGACTCCCCGGACTTGTTCCCGGTACTCTTGAGTGATGAAGTTTTCCACCAGGTTCTTTCCCATGGTTTCGTCCTTCGAATACATGGACAGGTCGGCTGCCTTCCTGTTCCATTCTGTGACACAACCTTCAACACTGACACCGAATATTGGAGCGTTGGCAGTTTCGATCAAGCGGGAAAGGTCGTCTGCCACCGCCTTGCACTCTGTATGTGCTTTCTGCATGTTGGTGATGTCCTGCCCCACGCCAACCACACCAGTGACAGTGCCCGCGGCATCACGCCGGGGCGTCGCATTCAGTAGGATATCAATCCGTCGGCCATCTTTGGTCAACAACGGGAACTCGAAGTTCGCCGTCTCATTGCCCATAGCGGCCTGGGTCAGAACCTCCTGGACGCGCTCCCTGTAGTCCTCTGTAATCCGCCACCGTGCCCTAAGGAACGAATCGGAGTGTCCTCAGGTCCATTCGACTTCCGTATAGAGCTCTGTCACTGTTCTTTACGGCGTCTGCAGCCCAGGAGTTCAGCGCACCTGCGGGGCCCCCGCGCCGTGACTGCTCGAGAGGCCACGAGCCTGCTTCCGCAGCATGCCTGTCCAGCACGGTTTCGGACAGCCCCCTCCGGGACCGTGCTGTAGCCTTCTTGGGCGCCTCTTGGGCCGTCTTGGAGGCCCTGGAGTAGGGGGAAAACAAACCTACCTCGCTTTTGACCACCCTCGCTTCCAAGAGATACCAAACGAGGCCAAACTACAGCATGTACTGGTCAGGCCGCTTGACGAGGAGGCGCGTGGTATGGCTTGGTTTTGCCTGGAAGCGAAAGCGGGGTAGGTAATTCAGGCTCTGATGGAGGGCGGTCCAAGAGGGCAACATCGGCAAAAAGAGCTGTTTTTGCATAGTGTTCGCACTTCCGCCTTCCCATTTCCAGAGCGTGCAAGAAGGCCCAAGCGGCGCGAGCCACCAAGAGGGGCCCAAGAGGCCCCCAAGACTGCCCCGAGTGGAGCCAGAGATAGGGAGCACGAGCTCACAATTTGAGCCCTCCGCCCCAAAATGGCCCCAATATCTCCACACACACCCCCGAGGTGCTATGCCTCCAAGAGGCCCCCCCAGAGGCCCCGAGAGACCTACATCAGGCCCCAAGAGGCCCCCAAAACGCTCCGAAACACCCCCAAGACCGCCTCCAAGAGGCATCTCCGAGAGGCCTCCCAAGAGATCCTCACAGGCATCCAGGAGGCCCATGACCGACAACCCAGGCACGGCTGCGGGATCGGCCGAAGGCGTTTCGCATAAAGTCTTTCACGAGCTGCGCCCCAAGGGTCTCCTCCTTCGGGAACATTGTCAGGTCGGCCGCCTTCCGATTCCACTCGGTGACGCGGCCAGCTGTGTCGACACCGAAGATTGGAGCGTTCGCAGTCTGAATCAATCGGGACAGGTCCTCGGCCAACGTCTTGCTTTCAATCAGGGCCTTTCGCATGTTGGTGATGTCCTGTCCGACGCCGACCACGCCAGTGACTTTGCCGGCGGCGTCGCGCCGAGGCGTTGCGTTGAGCAGGATGTCAATGCCCTGCCCATCCTTCGTCATCAAGGGGAACTCGAAATTGGCGGTCTCCGAGCCCTGTGGGCCAATCTTTTGCGCCGAACAACTCCTAGAAACCGCCGGCACCTAGCCCTCAGCTCTGGCTGTTTTGCAAACGGTTCGCCTCCACCCTTCTCGAATACTGCTGCCTCTTCCCTCTCCTCCTCTCTCCTGTCACTCCCCCGCCAGGTTCTACCCCCCACCCTATCTACCCCATCAAGTTCTCCCCCATGCAATCTCCATCAGCCTGTCTGCCCTGATGTTTAATGACACTTCTTCTTCTTCAGCATCGTCTGTGCCTCTCCCTCCCTCACGCCCGATCCCGGTACGCTGCACCCACGAGGTCCAAACTTGAGGGCACGATCACTGAGCGTGGCTATGAGTACCGTCTGCGGTTCTTGAATCTTCGTGCAGGTGCCCGGGTGCACAGCAGGGATGGCCACCGCGCGATTCCATGCACAGCGCTGTCGACAATGAGACGTGAAACTGTCTCAGGGAAGGGAGCACACAAACGCGCACACCTGAAGCGCTTGCGTCAGGACAGCCTGCACCTGCTCCCTGTAGTCCGCGGTGATGAAAGCAGACACCAAATTCTCGCCAATGGCGTCGATCTGGGAGAACATTGTCAATTCGGCCGCCTTCCTGTTCCACTCCGTCACGCGCCCATCTGCGTCAACGCCGAAAATGGGGGCATTGGCGGTCTCAATCAGTCGGGACAAATCCTCGGCGACAGTTTTGCTCTCCGTCATGACATTCTTCATCTGCGTGATGTCCTGCCCGACACCAACCACTCCTGTCACAGTGCCAACTGCGTCGCGGCGGGGCGTCGCGTTAAGCAATATCTCTATCTGGTTGCCGTCCCTGGTCACCAGCGGGAACTCAAAGTTGGCCGTCTCGGAGCCCGACAATGCCTTTGTCAAGACAAGCTGCACCGATTGCTTATAATCTTCCGTCGTGAACTCGGCGACCAGATTTTTACCCAACGTGTAGTCCTTCGGGAACATCGTCAACTCCGCCGCCTTCCTGTTCCACTCGGTCACGCGCCCATCCACGTCAACTCCGAATATGGGAGCGTTGGCGGACTCGATCAAACGGGACAGGTCGTCCGCGATAGTCTTGCTTTCAGTCAAGACCTTCTGCAAATGCGTGATGTCTTGCCCCACGCCGACCACTCCAGTCACGTTGCCGTTGCCGTCTCGACGAGGAGTGGCATTCAGCAGGACGTCGATGCGTTTGTTGTCCTTTGTCATCAGAGGGAACTCGAAGTTCGCCGTCTCAGACCCAGCACAAGCCTGGGTCAGAACTGCTTGGACGTCTTTCCGGTAATCCTCTGTGATAAAGTCCTTCACCAGAAACCTCCCCAACGTCTCCTCTTTCGAGAACAATGTCAACTCAGCTGCCTTCCTGTTCCACTCCGTGACGCGTCCATCCACATCAACGCCGAAGATAGGGGCGTTGGCAGTCTCGATCAGCCGGGACAGGTCGTCCGCGATAGTCTTGCTTTCAGTCAAAACCTTCTGAAGGTGCGTAATGTCTTGCCCCACACCGACAACTCCAGTCACATTGCCATTGCCATCGCGACGAGGAGTAGCATTCAGCAGGACGTCGATGCGCTGGTTATCTTTCGTCATGAGCGGGAACTCGAAGTTGGCCGTCTCGGAACCCGAGCACGCCTGGGTCAAAACTGCTTGGACGTCTTTCCGGTAATCCTCCGTGATGAAGTCCTTCACCAGATTTCTCCCCATTGTCTCTTCTTTCGAGAACAATGTCAACTCAGCTGCCTTCCTGTTCCACTCCGTCACCCGACCATTCACATCGACACCAAAGATGGGGGCGTTAGCTGTCTCGATCAGCCGGGACAGGTCGTCCGCGATAGTCCTGCTTTCAGTCAGCACCTTCTGCAGGTGCGTAATGTCTTGTCCTACACCGACCACTCCAGTCACCTTGCCATTGCCATCGCGACGAGGAGTGGCATTCAACAACACGTCGATGCGCTTGCTGTCCTGGCAGCCCCGCTGAGCATCGCAAACAAACCGATTTGCAGAAAAAACACTCGGGTCAAGGTAAGCAGGTGCTTTTTCCAACTGCGGCCAAAAACGCCCCAGGATAGGAACAAAGAAAAGCGACACCACCACCACCACCCTCACCACCAGCGCGAGACGTCCCTGTCCCCAGCTCGGGAAGGTATCGTGGACCTCCCCGTCTGAGATGACACCCCTGGTGGTGGTAGTGTTGCTGCCCTTTCCACTGACCAGCAGTGACGGTGGCAAACGTGATCATACTTTCGACCCCACGCGCGGCAACGTCCGAGATGCCAGCAACTCGCTCGCAAAGCATTGGCGGGCCACGAGAACTAGCTAAAGCGAATGAAGGCACGAACGCTCGTGTGGTCAGTGACCTACTAACCCAGATCAGCTGGACGACTCAATCCTTGGACACTGCTCTCACGAAGCTGGAAACTGGAACTTGGAAGATCGGTTGGACACAATCCTTAGCCAAGGTTGGCACGATAACTGTGCTGTCTGGAGGTCAGGGCCACAGGAAATGCGACCACAGCCGGAGGACACGTGGTGGGCTCCGGAAGCCCCGAGCCAAAAGAACTGACCATCTTCTGGGGGGCAGACTTTTACCTCCGCAAGCTTTCGCCAGCCTTCCAACGGCTTCCTGGGGAAACCAAGAGGTACCGGCGCCGCTGCTCCCCAGACCTCCAAGATTTCGAGGCGAACCCCGCGGTGGCGACGAGGGCCTCCCAGGAGGCCCAGACAGCGGGAAATGGGCGACGGGTAGCGGTATTGGGCACCTGCTCCTCCTCTGATCTCCTGGGGGGCAGACTTCTACCTCCGCAGGCTTCCGCCAGCCTTGCGGGGGCTTCCGCCGGCCTTCCGCCGGCCTCGCGTTGCTGCCGACGGCTTCCGTTAGGTCGGACGCGTCCCCCTCCAAGCGGACTTTGGGACGACAAAATAGAACCCCCCCCAAAGTATTTACAAATATTCACAAATAGCCATACATAGTTTAAGAACATCGTCCCAAACTATGTTCAATCGGGGATGGACAGACCCCCCTTTAGTAAAACGTGGTTTAGTGAAAACGACCTGAGGCGCAAACCTGGCGGGCGCAAGCCTGGAAAGGAGCGGCCACGGCGCCCTCTCGAGAACCGAAAACGGACAATTCACGAATCGACGTGTCACCGTTGGGGGCTCTGTCAACCCCCGATTCAGTTTAGGAGAATCGCCCCAAACTGTGCTCAAACTATTTTGCAAGACTCCTCCTGCAGAACGACACGCCCGACTGAGGAGGAGGAGGAGGAGGAGGAGGAGGAGGAGGAGGGGGGAAGGAGGAGAGAGGAGGGAGGAGGAGAGGAGGAGGAGGAGGAGGAGGAGGAGGAGGAGGAGGAGGAGGAGGAGGAGGAGGAGTGAGGGGGAGGAGGAGTGAGGAGGAGGATGAAGGCCCCCGCCGGCCTCCCGCCGCCCTCCGCGGGGCAGGGACCGGCGCCTCCCTCGACCCTCGAGGGTCCATCCGCCGCCTCTCTCCTCCGCAGCGCGGCGCGCCCTCCGGCTGCTCCCCGGCGGCAGGGGCAGCCGGCGGCGGCTCGCCGCTGCCCTGCGCTGCCGTGGGTGTGGCCCGTGCTCTCCCCGCGCCGTGCGAGGGGGTCTGCGTGGGGGGGGAGGTCGCCCCGCCTCAAGGATGGATTGACCCGTCGTGTTTTTTATTTTGTGTTTTCATTTATTTATCTTTTATTTTTCATTTTTTGAAAAAAAAAAAAAAAAAAAAAAAAAAAAAAAAAAAAAAAAAAAAAAAAAAAAAAAAAAAAAAAAAAAAAAAAAAAAAAAAAAAAAAAAAAAAAAACACACACACACACAAAACAAAAAAACAACAAAAAACGCAAAACAAAAAAAAAAAAAAATAGAGGCCTCTTTCATGGGGTCGGAGCAGATGGGGTCGGAGGATCGCGCGCGCCGCATCGGCGATGCATCGGCGGTGCATCGGCGGCGTCGGCGTGAAGCAAGTCGGGCTCCACGTCGAGCCGCAGCGGCGCTGTGCATCGGCGGTGCGGCGCGATCCGGCCCCCTTTATGCTCCGACCCCCAGCTAGGAGGCCTGGAGGAAAGGATGGCACACCTCGGTCGGGAAGGCGGAGAACGTAATGTGGGATGACGATTAAGAAAAAAAGGAGGGGGGAACGATTTAAAAGAAAGTTTCCCACACCGGGGCGGAACGCTCAGAAGCAGGGCTCGCCTGTGCGGTGTCTCGTCACCGGGGGGGGCACGCGCCCGAGGACGGCGGGGGGGGGACGATTAAAAAATAGTTTCCCAGCCCGGGGCCGGTTTTTCTAATCATCATCCCGGGCGCCGCCGCGTGAACACGACCCCCGGTCATTTATTAATCGTCATCCTCCATTACACCTCGGCCGGGAAGGCGGAGAACGGACATCGGGTCGAGGCCCTCCCAGAGAAGGACAAGAAGCACAGCAGAAGCAAATCGGTGCTTGAGGTACACGTCGTTCATGTCTGACTGTGCTCATTTCACATTGTGCTCGTTTCTGATTGTTCCTGGCCCCCTGGTGGCCAGGCAGAGGCCCAGGATAGAACAATTAGAAATGAAAGGATCCTGGCCCCCCAAATAATCAAATAACTTTTGAAGAATTAGAACTGAACAACGTGTAGGAGGGCGCTCGGAGCAGATTGGGGCCCGGGAATGCGCACACACACACACGCCTTCTTTCAACGGCCGACGCGTAAGCCTCTCCGCATCCCGCCCCTCAAGGAGCACGTCCGAGATTGCAGCATCGGGCGCGCCCTCGTGGGCTCGGATCTCAGCATCGGCTGGGCGCCGCGGAGGGGAAGCGAGAGGGTGCGGGCCTCCTCGGAGGGCGGCGGGGCTCTTCGGAATCCTCCCGGCCTTCTTCGAAGCCCTCCGTTCCGTGGCTTCGGCGAAGGCTCCGGCAGCTTCTCGGATCCGCCCCTCTGTCCTCTCCCCCCAGGCGCGCCGCCGACAAGAGCCGTACAATTGCATACGAGCATGCGCCGAAAGGGACACCGGGTTGCGCGGCCCAGTTGATCAGCCTGGAGGTTCCCTGACGTGCATAATCATGCGGATAGGGAAGCCCTGCAGACTGCTCCCTCGGGAATAGAGCGGGGCTTCCTGCTGAAACCGCGACGCCCCTGAGCGCCGAAAAAAACGATTCCAGCGTTCGCGAACAATGCTCCCTCAACCTCTGGGCTCCCAGGGGCACGTAAACATACCCTGCGTGGGTCTGTATGGGAATCCAGAAACAGCGAAGTAGCAGTGGCTTCCAGAGAGCTCCAGAAACGAAAAGCAGTGTTTGGCGCCTTGGAGGTCGAAAAACATAGAAGAACAAGCATTGCGCCCTGGGTGCCAAAAAAAAACCTCGAGGGCCCCAAGAGATCTCAAACAGTGCCTCCCAGGGGCAAGCAACATTGAGCAGCTACTGAGACAAATTGGACCATGCCAACTTCAGCTAAGATCAACGAAACAAATACTCACAATCACGTCAACATTCACTCATCATTGTATGGAGGTCCCGTCAACAAGACCCCGCCAGCATCCCACTGGAATCCCCCCCTGTGACACTGGCAGCGCGATGCATGCCAGAAGCAAGCGGGCACTCCTGGAGTGAGCTCCCTGGCAAGCCTGTTGGCAACACGGCTGGCAACGCGATGTGAACCGCAAGCGAGGAGCGCGTTTCTTTATTTTCGGCGATAATGGGCATTAAAGGGGGGTGGGAGGGGGCTGGGGGGGGGGGTATAATGTGACACCTCCCCCCCGCCGTGTTTGCGATGCTCACGGCGGCAGTGCCCCGGAGCGCACTGGGGGGGGAGGGGCATTACGTTAAAGGGTGGGTAGGGGGGGGAGGGGGCTATAATGCCCATTGTGCCCCAAGCAATAAAGAACACTCTCGAGCGAGCGCGCTCGGCGTGAACTTTCTGGCCTGCGTCCTGGCAACGACGTTGGCAACACGCCGGCTCGCGGGAGCGATGAGGGCACTCTTGGAGTAAGCCTTCTGGCAAGCTTCTTGGCGGCGGCACCGGCCACGCGATGTGTCATTGCACCGGCCTTGCAGACGTGCTGCAACGGATTTCTGCGTGGATTGTTGCCCGAAGTGGCGAGCGAAAAACGAAGTGAATTTCGCGTGGGTTCATTTTGGTCTTCATTCATGTCCGCACAAGTTCGCACGATATTCACCTCGAAATCCGGAACGGAATTCTCCAGGACACCCTGGGCCCACCCTATCGTTTTCCGAGCGAAATCCGCTCTGCGATGGTGGCGCAACGAGATGTGCGCCGCGAGCGCGCGGGCAGGCTCGGATGTGAGCCCCGAGGCGGCGGCGCAGGCCACGCGGTGCGCCGTGCCCGGAGACGGGCACGCTGCTCCAGATGTCACCATATCCCAACTTCAGCCAGCTCAGCGCAGCCTCTGGCAAGCGACGGAGGGTGGCTTACACCCTGCGGAGCGCTTAAGAAATCATGGGTTAAGAAATTCATAGTCTCAGAACTTGAATAAAACCCACAATTTCCATTCAAACCTTAGGAATTACATTGAAACATTAAGAATAATCGAGACTCTGACCGAAAATTTAAGTTTTCTGAAGCATCGCCTAAGGTGTAAGCGTGGCCCGGGGGCGACATGTTCCCCAGATGAGTGGTGAACGTCGCACATCCTATGTACACGAGAGTACCAAGCAGAAGCAACGTCCCGGAGGTCTGATTTGGGAGGGGGTCTGATCTGAGCTGTCTTGCAGGTGTTCGGGCGGGTCTGGGCAAAAGGCCGCCCTCTCATGGCTGGTGCTGGGTCTACGATTGCTTGTCTGGGAGGGTTGTGATCCCCTCGAATTTGTTGCGAATGTTTGAATTGTCGCGCGGTGTGACGCGCAAGCGAGCGGGCACGCACGGCCCGCCCAAAGCATGGAAGGAGCACCGCCCCCCGGCACCTGTGATGTGGGAGGCTCTGCAGTTTAGCAGCAAGGGACCCCCCCATAGGGAAGCCCCATTCGGGAAGGCGCGCGAGTGGATGCTCGTTCTGAGGGCCTTCCTGGAACCGCTCGCTCCACTCGTGCATCGATGCTGCCCATGAGTCGAAGGTGGAGCCGAACAGGAGTCGAACCGGAGTCGGGGTAGAGCGCCGAACAAGAGCCGAACAGCTACGCCACGTGGGCCCCAGGGAATGGAGGAGGAGGAGGAGGAGGAGGAGGAGGAGGAGGAGGAGGAGGAGGAGGAGGAGGAGGAGTGAGGAGTGAGGAGTGAGGAGTGAGGAGTGAGGAGGAGTGAGGAGGAGGAGGAGGAGGAGGAGGAGGAGGAGGAGGAGTCGAGCTGGAGCCGAGCTAGAGTCGAACCGAGGCGTCACGTGGGCCCTCGGAAGGTGCCCCAGAACGGGCATCTGGGCACGGCGTCGCAGGCCCGTCGTGCAGTAGCCCTGCCCGGAGGGGGGGGGGGTACTCCTGCCCACCGCTGACGAGGGCGGCGGGCCACGCCGAGGGCACACGGAGGCCCAGTCGTGCCGCAGGGGGGCTGGCCCGTGGAGCAGGGCTCGAGCCGAACAGTCGTTTTCGTGCTCGTGCTGCTCTCATCGCCCTTCGTTCTGCCTTCTCTCTGCATCTGCCGCGAGATGAGATCCGAACGAGAACGGTGCACGAGATCGCCAGAGCACCGCTTAGTTAGCTCCCTCGAGCCCTGCCACGGGAGAGGGCGAGGCCACAGGGCACCGAGGGGGCTGTGCACGCACGTGCTCGCGAGGGCGCGAGGTGGGGAACGGCAGGGCGCGCCTGGCCAGGGGCGCGCGGAGCGAGTGGAAAAGCAGAGAGCGGCCGCGGAGGAGGGAGGAGGGAGGAGGAGGAGGAGGAGGAGGAGGAGGAGGAGGAGGAGGAGGAGGAGGAGGAGGTTCGACCGCCAAAAATCGACTGGTGAGGAGCACGCACGTGCGCACGCGGAAAGCCCACGCCACGCCTCCGAGGCTGCCACGCGGAATGAACGCCGCACGAGTCACCGTGCTGCCGCACAGCGCCGCAGAAGAGAAGGAGGGGCTCCCCTCTGGCCACGGCGAGCCTCGGCAACGAGCAAGTTCCAGGCCTGGAGCCGAGGAGCGGCCCCGAAGCCAGAGCCCCTCCTGAGCCCCCAGCGGTCCCTGTCTCGAGGAG